ATTTAGTAAATTCTCATATATTAGTTCTTATAGTGGATCTATATTTATTATAGAAATGTATCATGCTGAAGGTACTATTTCATAGCTATCTTTTATTGAAAACAATATAAGTAATATTTATTCATTTGGAAATGGAGCCATTTATATTGATAATACTTTAAATGATACATAAATTATATTTAAATATAATTCTTTTTTAGAAATATGTTCATTAAAAGATGGAGGACTATTATTTATTTAAGGAGAGTAATAAGTAACTTATCCATAATTGAATATTACACAACTTAGTATAATTAATATAGATGATGTATTGCCTTATTAATTCAATAGATCAATTTATTTTACTTAAAATACATTTTCTAACTTGTATTCTAATAATGGATCTATTATAAAAGCATCATTATTCAATATAACATTTAAGGATAATTACTTTAATAGTAATAATATAACAGCTACTCCTTAAAAATTTAATTCAATCTAAATTACATAAGGATCTTTGTTTTATTTGGAATATTGTGTTTTAATACTATAGAATTTTACAATTACTGAATTTAAGAATTTTGCAAATTAAAAAAATGAAGGTGAATTAATTTATTCTTTTAAGAGTTGGATTGAATTAAATTAGTGTACTTTTTCAAATATTATTGTAAAAAATTCTAACTTATTTTACATAAATCTTTCATATCTAAAAAGTGATACTTTGATATTATAAAATATCTAATAGAATTAGAGTTCAACAGATAAGAGTTTGGTAGAAATATATGATTCAGCAATTTATATGTTGTTTGCTCAATTTTAACTGTTGTAATGTTTAAATTATAAATGTGTATCTTCAGGTTTCTACATAAAATACTCATATAGCTATATTATAGGTGGTTCATGTATTGACAGTCGAGGTAATTATGGTGGTTGTTTTTATGTTACATTAAAACAATAATTTGCAATTTTTGATTCATTAATATTTGATCATAATTATGTAAACAGTTCAGGAGGTACTATCTTAGCTGATTTACAGAATATTTCTTCATTGACAATATTGAATTCCTTATTTTAGAATAATATTGCAGCTGATTCAGGTGGATGTTTGTATATAAATTCATTCAATCAATCTTTTGATATCAATTAGGTATAAGATAACCCTGTAATTTATATTAACTAATCCTAATTTATCAATAATATTGCTTACAAATATGGAGGAGCATTAAAGACACTTGTATTTAATCCATTAATTGATAATCTTACTATATTTAATAACAATTCAGCATTTATAGAAGGGGACAATATCAGTTCTTATCCTTCAGCTTTATTTCTTACTAATCCATTAGAACCTGAATTACCTAATTTTTATGTTTATAATGAAAGCTTATAACCTGTTTAAGGATATTATTTTATACCCTATTCTAATAATGGATAATATTTTTTAAAATACTTTAAAAGTGGTGATACTATATAATAACCATTAAATTTTATTATGAAATCATCTAATAATTAAACTATGTATGATGATAAAGTTTATCTAAAAATTTATCCATCTGGATCAGAAAATTACTCTCTAAGTATTTCAAATCCAAGTAGAGGGAATAATGAAGTGAGATTCAAAGATGGATTTTTTAGTCTTTAAAATGTTACAGCAATAGGAATACCTGATACTGAATATCCATTTTATTTAACTAGTGATGAAATAAAATCATTATCTAAATACAAATACTATTATGTAAGTAATTATAATTACACTTTTTTTGTGGTTTTTAGAAAATGTTTATATGGTGAAATTTGGTAAAGCTTTGATAATTATACTGTTTGTTATTAATGTCCTCAAGGATTTTATTCTTTTGAATTACCAACATAATAAGATTAAGGTTAATGTTAAGTTTGTCCTCTTGTAAGCAAATATAGGATATAATGTTATGGTGGAGCATAAACAGATTTAGAACCAGTATATTGGAGAGAGAATATCACTACTTTATAAATATATAAATGTGATTAAGAATTCAGTGATTGTATAGGTGGTATAACGTAAGATTAATGTGGAAATGGATATACAGGTAGAATGTGTTAAGCTTGTGATTATGAAAATAATTATGCAAGGGATTCTAGATAAATATGTATTTTATGTTCTTAAGTTGATTGGCCTATTGCAATTATATTATTAAGTAGTATAGGAATTTTCCTTTATTTTACAATGTCAATATTCTTTTTAGCACAAGATGTTGTTATATTGTGTTTACTACCATGTTTAAATCAAATGTTACCACCATTAAAGAAAATTGGATCTAATTTAGGATAAGTTAAAGATTTGAATTCTTTATTAAAGATCTTCCTTGCTTATTATTAAAAAATATCATTAGTTAGTAAAATTGTTGTAGATATTCCATCTCAAGTATAAGATACTTCAGATTCTTCTATTTTTGATTTCTCTTTAGAATGTCCAATGATAAATGTTAATAATTATGTACCAATGGTTTATGTCAATTATATTATTGAAGTTTTAAAACCATTATCATCTATGATAATCTTTATGTTTATATGGTCAATTCTTTTTAGAAATTAAAAAATTAAAAGAGGTATTTATTACACTGCTACTTGGTTAATTATTTGGTTATTTTATTTACCTAGTTTTTATGAAAAAACACTTTAATTATTGAATTGTAAAACAATTGGAGATGGAAGATATCTTAAACCAGATTTAAATTAAGATTGTTATGGAACTGAACATTTTTTTTATACTTTGTTTATTTCTATACCATGTTTATTGTTTTTTGTTGTTTATATTCCTGCTATGCTTCTTTATCATATTAGAAATGATATGAGGAAAAAAGATAAAAGACCATTAAGAAAATATAAATATTATTATATTAATGGAGAATTCACTGAAAAATACTATTATTGGGAATTTGTTAGACTTTTAGAAAAGATTTTAATTCAAACTGCCATTGAAATATTCTTTTATGATACTATTTATATGGCTGAATCATGTTTAATTATTGTTTTATTATATGGAATTGCTTCATTTGCTACTTAACCTTATGGTTATAAAAGATAAAACTTTGTTAATGTTATATCTAGTTTTACTGCCTTTGGAACTATATATATTGCATTAGTTATTGCAACTATAAAAAATCAAAATACAGATCCAAATGCTCCAATTATTATCTTCTTTGAAGTTTTACTTGCTATTATTAATGTTATATATGCTTTGTGGATGGCTTGGAAATTGTTTATTGTACTTATGCCAGTTTTATTTGTTAATATTGAATAAATTTAAAGGGTATTTTAGATTATCATATTTAGAAAGTTGCTAATATTAGATTTCTTAGAAAATTGGCTTTAAATTAAAGATTAAGAGCTAAATTATTATTTAAATAAATAGGTTAAAAAGTCATCGTTATTAATTTAATCAAAAAACATGCTATGATTAGATATTTAAAAAAAGAATAAAAAGACAAATAATTATAAGACATTGTAAATTTATATATATATAATATTTAAAGGAAGAGAAAATTAGAAATAGAAAACAAACAGCTGCATAGGATGCCTTGAGTTATATTCTAAGAAACAATTAAGAACTCGAATAAAAATTAAATGGAAATGATTTAGAACATAATAACGATTATTCATTCCAATATATCGAGTTATAAGATCCTGAAAAATTAAATCAATGATATTCTATTTATTATAATATTCCTTATTTATATTATCCCACTCTAATCTTATATTCTTAATCAAATATTGTTGCTCTTCCTTCTAAATTACCATCTTTAAACACTCCAAAAACTTTGGCATTTTTATAATACAATACTCCTTTTCCATTAAACTTATATTATTAATCCATTTATCCTTAATAATGTGTCCAATTCTTTTCCATCTATGTAATGCTTTATTTATCGAAATACTTATTATTAAAATCTTTATTATAACGAATAGCCTTTCGAGTATCAGAATATTCAACTCTTTAAAATTATTAAAGCAAAACTGACTTTCTTTATTACAAATCAATTATCTTTTGATTAATAGTCAAAATTTCATTTATAGTATCAGAAGAGATTTATTAGGATAATTATCTTGAAGTTTTTTGTATAGGTTCTACAAGAGTTGAGGGAGTACGAATCTTTTTGAAATTAATCGGACTTATTTATGGTTTTTTTATTGTTGAAACATCACTAATTAATAAACTGTATTTCTCTAAAGATTATCTTGTTGTGTCTAAAAGTGAAGGAGATTTTTTATGCTTAAACATTTAACGAACACAAATAATTAATAATTTTATTATTATTGTTATTCAACATATATCTAAAACAATCTAAATGAATTTTTTCAATATATATATATATATATATCATAATCATTTTGTTAAAATTTATAGCTATTATCAATTCATATTTTTGATAATGGTTATATATTGAAAACAGAATATAATAATAATGAATTTCAATTCATTTTTTGATATATTATAAAATTTACAATTTAATTATATATTAAAGCATAATCTATATAATTAATCATAATTCTAAACCTAATATTTTAATTTAAAAAACAAATTCATATATTAAATAAATATTTATTAAGTAATGAAAATTATTAAATACTGTTCATGAATTAGATAAAGAATTTTATCATAAATCATCTAATGGTTACATTATTTTTATAAAAAAATTTAACTTCTTAAATTATAAAATCGAAATAAGTAATATTTTTAAGTATGATTAGAGTAAAACCATTTCAAAATTAAAATATCAAAGTATAAATATCTTTACATGTTATTTATATATAATTAATTACTTGTCATTTTTAATTACAGAGCAAAGAATATTTTGAATAATCTTCACTGTATTGAACTGAATATAAATATAGAAAGTAACAGTCATCATATTTTTAATATTTAATTCATCATTACTTTATTTATATTTATTATTGCATAAAAAGATTTATTTGTTTTAGATATTTATTAGGAAAATTATTCTTGATGAATTTATTAAATTTAAAGAATAAAACCTAAATTAGATGCCAAAATAGCAGTAGTAAAAAAAAAGGGCCTATGCTAAGGTGTCATTTACATGTAAGGAGGCTTTGAGATCTCTTGTATTTCAAGAAGGATTAAAAATAAAATAAGTATTACAATTTAATAACTTTTTAAGGCAGCTCAAAAATTATAAATAAATTATGCAAGTGCTAAAACCATTATCCTCCAATTTAGGTAGCAATAGATGAGAAAATGTTTTAAATATTTATCAAAGAAGCCTTGTCTTATTAAATAGGCTTCATAAATAAAATATTAGTTTAAAATTATTTCTTAAACTGGTGGAGAGAAGGTAAATGAAAAAGTATATGATTTAAATTGATTGAAATAATATCATAAAATGAGATATATATACATAAAAAAATTTATACCTATGATCATTATTAATTTGTCTTATTGTGACATATGCTATTTTTTTAATGTTTGATATAATTAAGAGAAAGATGTATTAAATTACCTTTTGAGGAATTTTTTATTGACTAATTACTTCAGACAGCATCATAAAATAAAAAAATAGTTTAGAAATGTTTATATAGAATTTTACCCTTATGAAAAAGGAAGTAATAAATGAATAAGATAGTTATTAGACCAAATTAATTTGTTACATATTCAAAAAATTAGGTGCAGTTTAAATATTAAAATATCATATATATATTTATGTAATTCAATAATCAAATATATATATATTATAATTTATTAATTTTATGGTTTAATAAAATGAATGATTAATTAATTCTTATATTGAGTATTAAAAATTTATTCCTTTTGATAATACATAGAAATTAAAGATTTATTCCCCCTTTTTAACTTTTAATTACATAAAGGTGCATAAAATTTATAAAATATTTATCATTACATTCAAAATCATGGCTAAGAGGTCTAGTACAAAAAGATAATATGTTAAAATTTCGAAAAATCAAAAATAAGCCTTACTCCATTTAGTCTTCTAAACTGGAATGAAAATTAGAGAAGTAATATAGATATTAACAATTAGGCAGCCATAAGATTAAAAATCAAATATGCAGCTTCTAAAACCTTAGTGTTATAATTTAGAAAAAAATTAATAAAGAAAGAGTTTCATTATGCCTCTGAGAAACCTTGTTAGACTTTTCCAAGAAAAAAGGACACTACGACAGTTAAAATCATATCATAAGTTGGAGGAAAAGAAATCAGTTCAAAAACATATATATACAAGTGAATAATTATTAAATAACTATTGTTTGTATATTTTTGTTTATGTAATGATAATCATTTCTAAAACTTACGAAACATGATAATAAATTGCATTAGAATTATATGAAGTTAGAGGTATCAATTAAAATTGCAAAATAAATTTAAAAATTTGAATGAAAATAATAATTTAATTTGTTATTAGTATTAGTGTGACGACAGATAAATAAATATTAGTTTAATATTATGGTTCATAGATAAAACCTATACTTTCCATAAAGCAAATTAAAATAAAAATTTAATTAAACCAGACAAATAAAATATCTGTAATAATTTAAAAATTTAGATAATTAATAATCAATTTTTTAGTTCTTCTAGAATCCCTGTTATAAATATTTATGAATCATTCATATTTGTTTTAGTTTCTTTGGTACGTATTACCTTGGCTTTATGGGATATGAATGGAAAAGGTAATTTTTTACGACATAATCTACATTATTTTCTTACAATTGATATTTAAATTAAAAGAATGGAAGTTATCGATATCATGATGCTAGTAGTGAGAAAAGTTTTATTAGTAAAAATTAAGGAAACTACTGCAGATTTAACATAGACCAATTAAACTAAATATTTCTTCCTAACATCCAGATCATATTTTTAAGGCCATAATTAATCTATGGAGGCATTGATATCCTAGTTTAAATATTTAATAATTACTTTTCTGATATTAAAATCAATTGTTTAATTAAATAATAATTGATAACTTCTATAAGAGTTGTACTTTAATTAGTACTTTAAGTATGTATATTCTGGATAGTTCTTTAGAAAGAGTCCATATTAGAATTCACTTACAAAAATGACAGCATCTTCATTTTTAAAGAGCATCTTGTATAATTGATGGAATGAAGTACGTCAATGCATTATTTAATATTTTCTTCTTCTTGATAACTAATGTCTCTATAACGTTAAATCATTTCAGAGACAAATCTATCATTTTTAACAGAACATAATTGAAATTGATTCATGGCTAAATCATTAAGAGAATTAAAATTTTGTCTTTATATTGCATTTCCTACAACATATATAAAATCAATGAATATGATGGCACTTATTAAAAAAGTTATAATAATAAACATGATTTTTAGTATTAAGGTAGATCTATATTGATTAAATGGTTAAATTACTGATTGGTTTCTTGATTGCCAACAAGAATTTAAAGTGATACACGTATTTTTTTGGAGTAGGTTCTATACTTTTGTTTTGAAAGGAAAAAAATCATAAAATTTGCATAAAGCATAATCCAAGGAAATATAATGATAATGTAATTGAAAAAGAGTTCCCATACAATTCTAGAGAAAAGTGTAACAACAAGACTTGGATAAATAAAAATATAATTTTCTGTAAGTATTGGTTTTGACAACTACTTGTATAACTCATAGGAAATACATCATATTCAGAATAATCCAATTGAATTGCATCTTATGTTAGAACAATGCTCTTTTCTTAATTATAATTTCGAAGAAAGCTAAAAGTTATATTGGCTTAATCAGGTTGATCAACATAAAGTAAATCTATTTGTTCATTTCTACGAGTTTTAAAGGAGTCAATGACATCATAAAAAATGTCTACAAGCATACCAGTTCGATTGGGTAGTATTAGTGGATCTTATAATTTACCTAAATAAATATTGAGTTAAAGAGCATATGCAATAATGAACATTATTAATAAATATCTATTTTAAATAATAAAGTCTAAATGGGACCGTATCTAAGCCAACCAAAAACAGAGAAGACTACAGTTACAGGCTAAAATTAGGTACTCCAATATGCTGCCACTCATATGCAAGGTATTAAATTATGAATAAATTAGGATGGAGAAATACAATGGAGGATGCTCACATTTCAGATATAAATATAGAGCCAGATGTTCATTTATTTGCTGTTTTCGATGGTCATGGAGGAAGTGAAGTAGCAATATTTGCAGAAAAACATTTCAAAGAAGAATTGATGAAGAATAAAAACTATCTATCAAAAAATTATGAAAAGGCTTTGACAGAAACATTTTTCAAAATTGATAAAATGTTATAAGAGCCATCTGGTTAAGATGAGTTAAATAAAATAAGAGGAGTAACTGATGAAGGTAATATATATCAAAATTGTTTTAGCATCTTTGGCTGGATGTACTGCTAATGTTGCTTTGATTGTTGGCAAGAATTTATATGTTGCTAATGCTGGAGATTCAAGAGCATTTTTAAATAGAGATGGAAAACCTTTTGACATGAGTAAAGATCATAAGCCAGATGACGATTAAGAGAAAAAGAGAATAGAGAGAGCTGGAGGTTTTGTTTCTGATGGTCGTGCTAATGGTTTAATATTTAATAATATATAAGGAAATCTTTCTTTATCAAGAGCTTTAGGAGATTTGGAATACAAAAAAGATAATAGATTTAAGCCTGAGGAATAGATAATCTCTGCATTACCTGATGTTAAAGTAACATAATTGACTGCTGCTGATAAGTAATTTAAATATATTTTAATTTTATTAGGTTCTTATTGATGGGATGTGATGGAGTATTTGAAACATGGGATCATTAATAAATACTTAATTTTATTAATTAAGAATTGAAAAATAGTCAAAATCTATAGAAGGCTACTGAAAAATTGCTTGATTAATTGTTAGCAAAAGATACATCAAGTAAATATTTATATCTATTTTATAGTGGGTACTGGCTGTGATAATATGACTTGTATTTTGATTCAATTTAAATGATGAATCAATTGAGTATCAAAAACATATAAAATAAAATATAATTATAATTATCTTATGATTCAAACAATCAATTATAATGATAAATCATTTGAAGATTAAACATTACTACAAACACTCAAAAATCATAGAATAGCAATCATAGGAGCTATGAATGAAAATCAAAAACTTAAAAATAATAATCAAATTGTTCATTTAACACTTATTAATTTGATCATTTCATTTATATTTGGTTATCTTATAATGTAAGAATTACCTGTAGATAAATTTTATGAAGATTTGAATTCTGCTTATACAGTTATAAAAGTCTTATAAAAATAAGTAACTTAATAAGTTATAACCAATATTGCTGAAAAATCTGGGAGTGAAACTTGTTTATCATCTCTAGGTTATTTTCCTGGAACAAATAGAGGATGTATTTGTCCTAATATGTAAACATCTAATCAATAATGTCTTAAACCTTGTAAATTTGTGGATACTACAGCATAACAGAAATTATATACATTAGATGGAAGACAATATTGTATTCAATATGAGGATTCTAATGGTAAGAATGGATTAAATAATGCCTAAGAAGTTGATCTTCATTAAAATGGTATTTAATTTATGAATTCTAAATTTTCCTTCTCTAGAAAAGAAGATCTTTTAGCAGGAGACTTTTATAAATTAATTATAGCTCCTGATAAACCTTGTTTTAACACAGTATTAGGTCCAACCAAATAATCAAAATTATCATATCCATTTTCTACAATTCAATATATTGGTTGTGATCGTTATTCATCTTGGAAGGATGATGCAATAATGTTAGCTGAAACAACTCATGGTTAATTGATAAATGAAAATAATATCTTCACTGCCAATTTACCTTATTATGAAAAATATCATAATGATGATGATCCTATGAAAATCTATATTTTAAGGAAATTATATGTAAATTAAGGAGATGAATGTTAATAAGCAATTAGATATAAATTTTCATAATGTTATATTTCTTGTCTTTTTATTTAAGTATTTGAACTTGTAGTATGCTATTTTTCATTCATTCTATTTACTATTGGATTTATATTTTTTGCTGTTATTAAATTAGGTGTTGAATTCAAATCAAATTCCAAAACTAAAAACTTCAAATTATTAAAAGTTACATATAAAGTTAAATTAAATGAAATACTTGAAAAAAGTATTGTAATATTAGGAGTAGTAATGGCAATAGTTGTTATATTGTCATAATTTGTATTCTAATATGGATTGAATAATGAAGAAGGATTAAAGAAAACTGCATAATACACATAATAATTATTGAATAAGACATGCTTTTAAAATTAAGGAATTCTTAAAGCTATTTCAGTTGTTCAGAATGCTGTCACCAGTTGCACTGATAGTATTTACAATTACGCAATATTATGGCTGATAGTTGAATTAATATATCTAATTGTAGGTTATATTCTTCTAAAACAAATGACAGCTAAAAGATAGAGCTTAAATTGATTTGTAAATATATATAGTAAAGAATGTTAATATCTATTTAAGCTCCATATCCTAAAAATATAATTTTAGGTAGAGACATTACAATTATTTTATTATTTAAATTTACTATGAATATTCCAAATTAATATAGATATTATTTCATATTTAATAGCATAAAGTTGAATCCACAAATGAAAATGAAGTTCTTATTATATGGATATTTTTAATAATATAAATTTTCCTTAATTATCTGATTTAATAATTATGGTTTAATATCTGAATGAGTTTTCTACTTATTGCAGAAATCTTGGTCTCTTAGCACTTTAAGAATCCTTTAAATTGTAAAAAAGTACTTTGGAAGAAACACTTCTCATGCATTTGATTACTTTAAATAGAGAATAACTGATTTAATTATCTACACGTATTGTAAGGATATGGAACAATAATAATGGAGATCAAAAGTAAGAATCTCCATTAGAAAGTTAATAAAGGAAAATGTCAATTAGTGAAATACATACAAAGTCTAGTTCTTAATTAAATCATTTATATGAATAACATATATTGAATGAAGAGAATCAAATAGTCAAACGAGATTAGTAAATCAATCATCTTATGAAGGAGTGCACGTTTAAACCTTAAATAACAAAGAAGAGTTAAAATTTAGAATTGAATTCTCCAGCTCATATTAGATTGAACAATTATGCAATGGACTCAAAAATTAAATTACAAATAGTTTAAGAACTTAATTAGAAATAAGAATTAAAGGATTGTACTTTTAAACCATCTATTAATACAAAGTCAATTAGTAATAATCAATCAGTTGAAAATCCGTTTGATAGACTCTATTAAAATGCATTAACTTAAAGAAATAGAACACCTAGAAATAATGAAGATTCATCATTTACTTATCGTCCTTAATTAATCAGCTCTCCTATGAAATTGTAATAATAAGATGGTATTTCAGTAGAGGAGAGACTTTATAATCATCATTTCGAGAAAATGAATAATATGGCTTTGAAATAAGAGGAACTATAATAAATTGAATTAGATTAATGTACATTTACTCCTGTGATTAATAATTAAGGAAATTAAAGACAAAATGAAAAAGTCTTTAAAAGATTATATAATCATAGTAGTGTAAAATCAGTTTCAGATGTGAAAGAACATTCAATATCACATATGAATAAGAAATCTGAATCATTAATAAAGAAACCATAATCAGATTATAATTCATATGTGACTTAATTTTAATTAGAATCCAATCCATTCGATCGATTGTATTAAGAACATCAAAGATAAGAGAAAAAAAAGAAATCAAATTAAATTTAATATTATTAATCTATCCCTTTTAAACCAATATTAAGTAAGAAATTGTCATTATAATGAATATATATATGTTATAAAATTTCATTTTAAATAATAATAATAATAATTAAATAAGAAATTTTAACAATTTTTCACAAAAAAAATGAAATTTAAAAACTCTTCAAAATATGATTATTCATAATATAAATTTTTTAAGATAATAACCTAAAATTACCATTTCAATATTCATTATCTTTTGATATATATATAATTAACAATCTTAAAATTATCTATATATATAATTTATATAAGATAGTTTATCATAATTTATCATAATTCAAAATTATGATGATAATATATTTGTATAAAAATATTGATTTATCTAATATAAATATAATTTATGGACAAATTACATCCACTATTCGTTCATCCAACTTAGAAATTATGGAATAGCTAATTACCTAGAAAGAGCTAATTAGTCTATCCATTATTTATAGTTGATGGAGAGAATCAAAAACAACCAATAAATTCAATGCCTAATATTTATAGATACTCAGTTGATTTATTAAAAGAATTACTGGAACCTTTGGTGATAAAAGGATTAAAAGCAGTATTAATATTTGGAGTGATTGGAAATGAAGATAAGGATGAATTTGGATCAATGGCAGGAGGATTAGGAAAGGAATCATGTGTTCATAAAGCATTAAGATTATTAAAATAAGTATTTCCTTAATTGTTATTAATAACTGATGTGTGTTTGTGTGCATATACATCTCATGGACATTGTGGGATATTAACAAAAGATGGATACTTAGATAATTAAGCCAGTATAAAAAGATTGAGTGAATGTGCTTTATCTTATGCATAGGCTGGAGCTGATATTGTAGCACCATCTGATATGATGGACAATAGAGTTAGAGCAATTAAAGAATTGTTAGATTAACATCCAAATTTGAGAGTTCCAATTATGTCTTATTCATCTAAATTTTGTTCAGCATTATATGGTCCTTTTAGAGATGTCTGTTGTTCAGCTCCTTAAAAGTTTGATAGATCTTCATATCAATTGCCACCAGGGAGTAGATAATTGGCTTTATAGGCTGCAGAGAGAGATTTGAAGGAAGGAGCAGGTTATTTGATGGTTAAACCAATAACTGCATATTTAGATATAGCTGCAGAAATAAAGAGAAGACATCCAGATACATTACTTGCATGTTATCATGTTAGTGGGGAATACTCTATGTTACATGCTGGTGCAGAAAAGAAATTGTTCGATTTGAAGAGAGTAGTATTAGAATATATGGAAGGGTTCATTAGATCAGGGATTGATATTATTATCACTTATTTCACTCCTGAATTGTTGGATTGGTTAGAATGAATAATAAATTATTATTTACATTTGATTAAAAAATAATTGTTTATTGTTAATGTCTTCTTTGTTCTAGGAAGTACCACTAAGAAAAGTTATTGCAGATAAAACTTAAGTAACAGTAATTATCTTAAATAGAAAATAGCAATTCTAGTGATGATGTTAAAAGATATATAAAAAGAAGAGGAGGAAATTTTGAAATAATTTAACAAAATGACTAAAGATGCTAAGACGATTAACGAACTATATGAGATTATGGAAATGATTAACTACGAGATGAGTGTTAGAAATGATGACAAAATGATGATTTTAGATGAAATAACTCATCAGGAAGAGCTTCTGTAAGTGCATGAATATATTACAGACTGAAAGAGTAGGAGAGTCTATAAAAGCAAATCAATAGTATATCCAAAGATCTAGAGACATCAGAAAAGTTTTAATAAACTCGATCATTACGTCAAACTGGTAGATTCTTGTAATTCAATCATAACAATCATAATTTGAATGTAGAAACTAAAAGTCTTTAATCAAATATAATAACAAGTTATGATTTTGAAGAGTAATCAAAATTGAATGACAAAATTCAAGAAAATATATTCAATGATCCAATTAAATATAATACATAAGAAGGAATAGATGAAACACAAGTTTATGATTGGATTCTTGATATAGATCTAATAAATAATGTATAATAAGGGTGGACAGTATATATAAGTAAACAGTTCTAGGCAAATAAAGAATTGGTTGGATTAGCCAATAACGATAACAAAGTTTAAATTAAATGGGAAGGTGCTACAGTTGCCGTTGTAGGATTGTATGATAAAGGGAAAACTTTTGTTTTAAATAATCTCACTTAATCTAATTTACCATCAGGTAAAAAAGTTACAACAAAAGGAATATCATTTAAACATGTTGATGTTGATTCAGGTACTTAATTAATTTTAGTTGATACTGCTGGAAGTTATTCACCTGTTAAAATTTAATCAGCTATGAGTATTGTTGAAAAAGAAGCAACAGAACATTTTATTATAGATTTAGTATTTGAATTAAGTGATTATTTCATTTGTGTTGTAAATGATTTTACTTCACTTGATTAGAGATATTTAGATAGATTATCAAGATATATTTAAAATAGTTCAAAAACATTTAGAGAAATAATTGTAGTTCATAATTTAAAAGAAATTGAAACTGCTGAAATATTACAACATGTTTGGACTACATAAGTAACTTAGATATATTCAACTGGTGGATCAATTTAAAGAACTAAGATTGCAGCTACTAATCCTAGAATTAATGAATTGTAAGAAAAACATGTTCTTTGGTTTAAAACATAATATACAAGACATGTCTGTTTAGTTAGTGATGATAGTTAATTAGGATTAGATGTTAATCCTTGGGTTTTCTCTTTATTAAAATATTGGTTAAAAGCAGTTTTTGTTCCTGTTAATAGATAATTCTCTGTTTGTGAAAATATACTATAATATGCTACTAGTAAACTTACTTAGTATTTTAAAAGAGAAGTAAATGTTAAATTAATTGATACGGATAATTAATATGTTAAGAAAATTGTTTAAATGGAGGCTGATTTATAAGATGGAGAATTGAAGATTCCTTAAACAAATATTGATCAATCTGGATTAATATTAGCTAGACCTGATTCATTTGCACCTGCTACTGATATTATTGCTAATGATAAATATATTATTTATATGGATGTACCAGGAATTAATGAAGAAGATATTGAAATGTATAGATAGAATGTAGTTACAATTGTTAAGGGAAATAGAAAAAAACCTTATTAAGAAGAATAAAGTGATCATATTAAGAAATAAGAGAGAAAATATGGTGAATTTACTTTAAGTTTTAGAATTCCTGAAAATTTCGAAAGAAAATGGAAACATTTTGGAATTGAAAATGGTGTATTGAAAATTGTATATGAAAAAGATAAAGATGATATTGTTCCAAGCAAATTTGTTAATTAAACATAATGAATGTATGTATAATTTTCTGAAATATTCTGGTTATATTTTTTTATTTAAATAAGTTTCAATCTATAATAATGTTTGATATTTTATTATTATGCAATAATTCTAATAAATACAAGAACCTGATATTTTTGTTTGTGCTTGTGGTTTTTCTTGTCATTATAAAAGTGAGAAAGAGATGGAGATTCATATTGATACTTGTCCTGTATATAGTGCATACAGTGATTTTATGAAATACATTGAGAGAAAAGACATTCAAAATGCTAATGTTGATTAACTTAGAGTATTGAAAGCAGAAGCTAAGGTATATATATCCAGATTAGAGATGATGTTAATGATTTGTAAGTATCAATTTAAAAACAAAAGATTCACAATAATAATAGCCAATTTTATAGAAAGTACCTTCTTAAACAGTGTAATGTGAAAAATGCAAGAAGTAATTTGAAGCTAATTCAGATTTTGATAAAGTTTGGTATTTAGAAAATTGTTCACATATTATTTGTAAAGATTGCATGTTTAAGATTTGTAAGGAAGACTTTCTACCTAAGAAAAGTAATGTTACTTGTTTATGTGGAGAAAGATTCAAAGATTAAGAGATTAAATAGATTTTGGGAAATGAAATTTTTGAACAATTAACTGAGAAACTCAATTTATCACTTTAGAATATTATAGAATGTTGTAATTGTAAAGAGAGATTTTGTTTTTAGAAAGGGAATATTTAAGAGAAAATTTAAGATTAAAATGGTAAATTAGTTTAAGGAGAACAATTAAAACATTATATAGAAAATAGATTTAAATGTTCAAAATGTCATACAGAATAATGTAAAAATTGTATGAGTGTACCTTATCATACAAATATGACTTGTGAAGAATATAAAATAAATAAGGCAGCTGTTAAATGCAGATTATGTGATTAACCAACAGAAATATAAAAGAATCAACCTGAAGCATTATAAATAATTTGTTAATAATAAGAATGTTAAAATAGAGCTAAAAAATTATGTACAATCAAATTATAATGTGGACATTTTTGTTAAGGATTAAAGAATACTTAATGTTTACCTTGTCTAAATGAAAAATGTGCTAAAGATTAAAATGAGGATGATTATTGTAATATATGTTTTACAGAAGCATTAAAATCATAGCCTTGTGTTCAGACTACTTGTGGACATGTAAATCTTAATTACTATTATTTATCAATTAGATATTCCATGAAGATTGTTTAAGATAAAAATTAGATGCTAAATGGAATGGTCCAAGAATTGTATTTAATTTCATGAAATGTCCTTTATGCAATAAATTTTTGGATATTTAGGTACCTCATTTCAAAAAGTCTATTGAAGAAGGATAAGCTTTATTGAAGGAAGTTTAAGAATTATGTTTACAAAGATTAAAATTAGAAGAAAAAGAAAAAGATAAAGAATTATTGGATCCTACTCATTAATTTTATTAAAAACCTTTAGATTATTCTATGCATATCTATTGTTATTATTTATGTTTTAAATGTAAAAAACCATATTTTGGAGGATTAAAGAATTGTTAATAAGCAGCAGATTAAGATCCTAAAGTTGAATTTAAATAAGAAGATTTAGTTTGTACAAAATGCTGCCCATTATTAACTCTTGAAGATAAATGTAATAAACATGGAGTAGATTATATTGATTTTAAATGTAGACATTGTTGTTCAATTGCATTATGGTGGTGTCAGTATAATTTTAATTTTATTATTAAGTGGTACAACTCATTATTGTGATCCTTGTCATAGAAATATCAAAACTAATATGACCAAACCATGTCCAGGACTAGGTAAATGTCCTTTAGGAATACCTCATAAACCTAATGGATAAGAAATGTCTTTAGGTTGTTCTTTATGTAGAGCAGAAAGATTGAAAGCCAAATGAATATTAATATCACACATAACACTCAAAAAAATATTTTTTATATATTTGAGTTAGTAACACTTCAACAGTATATTAAAAGGAAAAAATAAATGTCATGGATATTAAAAATTTAGAAAAATTTGTCCATAATATAAATTCTAAAAAATATCTTATTTCTATCTAAGTAATATTCAAAGACAATCATTATTTCACAAAATAATTAAACAAGCAAGAATATTTAGAAAGGGAACACTTCTATCAAAACTATCTGAAAATTAACCTAACATCATAGAATTATTTTTAAGACTAGGTAAAACTTATAGAAGAGAATAAATTTATATAATATTTCTAAATGATTTTTCAATTATACATAATTAATATAATTCAGAATATAGAATAAAATTTGTACCTTTTCTTCTAAATTATTGTATTAATAATGTAAATAAAGTGATTTAGGCACCATTTTTACAACCAAAAATATCATCCAAATCTTATTTGAAATAACATTAGGTCAAATGAATAAAGAGATTCTTGATTATGTTTACTGTTTTTACCATATTCTCATTTAAATACTTTGTAATTTATCAATTCTGTTTGAATTCAAATTTTTAATTTCATTTATTGATATATTTCAATTTGAGTTGATATTTTTTATGTTAATTATAAATTATATTTATAATCATCAAATTAAATCCAGTAAATTCGATTCTACAATTATTTTAGGTTAATTTATTTCTAAATCTAACAAATTTACTTCTTAAGCATTTAATTATTAGGCTCTTTAATTTGGCTATTTATTTACAACAAAAACAGAAAGAAAATTTTTATATGAAATGTTTTTCAGAGTTTTTGGATCATATAACTTTATTCCTTTAATTTAATGAACACCAGAGTTATAACCCACAACATCTAATTTAATTTTTCTTGTTCTAATTCCAGGAGGATAATTTAATTTCTATTTTATATATAAAAAAAGGTTTACCATTTAACTCATTCCAACAATTTTAATTGCTTTCATTTCCAATTCTTCTAATTTAATAGCTAAATCAATTTAAGGAACATCAAATAGGATTCCTAATTCAATATCAATTTCTATAGTTGTTATAACTTCTTTTTCAATTTAAATTGATTTTGAAGGTCTTAG